TGTCCCCATTTACAAGGGATGCAGTGGAGGCACCAGGAACTCGAGGCTTCCAAAGCTGGTGTCATCTTGAGTTTCCCACTGATCATGTTTTGGGATATGCCCCAGCTCCAGGAGGGTGTAGGAGAGTTTCGTTCTTTGCACAAATCTCAGTCAAGCCTGAAATCTCACTTATTCCTTAAAGCCCGAGGATCCCTGAACAGGTCTCTCCGTGTCTTGGCTTCAGCTTGTACTTGCCAAGCTATAATGTGGGAATCACTGGAAAAATATTAACTCTGGGGCCATCCTGAGCTGGGCAAAGCATGCACGTTATCCCCAGTGTCTGCAGGGGCCTTGGACTGGACAGATCGTGGAAGTCCTTGGTGCGTCCTCCCAGCCATAGGCTAATTGAACAGAGCTCTGTCAACCCAGTCACATTTTCAGGCCCTGAGTCCTGTAAATGGTTGCTATAATTAATTAAAAACAAAGAACCCAGCCAGTAGCACAGTGCCTCAAGAAATGCTTAGCAGCCTCTGTGTAGACTCTTTATCTCTCCTCTCATTTCCATCCATCGAAGAGCTTTGGAAGATTAATCCCCCTTAATGACAGATTCACGATCCTGAGGCCATTATTTTCTGATACCGTGGTTTAAAGAAGTGACCCAGGAAACAGGCTTTAAAAGCAACCTCTCCCCACCCTCTTTTCACTCCATGCAAGGGAAAAGATTAAAAGAGCCCAAGCTTCCATGAATATTTATGCTGGAGCCTCTGCCAAATCAGATTTGGGGAGTTCATCCCGCCGGGCAAACATGGATTCTGAACTCAGAGTTACGGAGGGGCCGACACGTTAATAGCAGATTGACCTACCGATTGTCAGGAAATCCCTGAGCCCGGTGAATGTGCACCCCACATCGGGGGACTTGGGAGAGAGGCTGCCTTGGTCGGGTTCAGACCAGGACAGCTACCGTCTCAAGGAAGAGGGTGCCAAAGGTTTTGTGCCTTGCACCGGAAATGAGGAGTGGGACCCCAGTCTGAAGATGCCGCAGAAACCCTGCTCCTGACACAGCCAGCGAGCGTCGAGACAGACACTCCCTAGCAGCATCCTAGGCCTCCACACCTGTCCTGTGGCCACCGGGCACCAGGAGTGTGCCCAGAGAAAGCTTGGGGTGGGATGCTGGGAAAAGGCCAAGCAGAGCCCATGTCTCGGTCATGGATCCCTCACCTGTCCCATCCAGGAAGCAGTGACTCACACTCAGATGGTGGGGTTTTCCCCGCTCCAAGTCCTATCCCCCAGGGCAAGGGGGCTCCTATGTGATGCACTCCCTTGGCAGCTGGAGAGGCCTAGGACCCCTTCTTAGCCTAACATTTAAAATGTGAAAAAAAATATATGGGATCACAAAGAAAATCAACATTATTTAAATCAAATATAAAATATTAAACATAATTTGAAAGAGCAATGGACACACATACTCTATGTCTATATTTTTTGTTTGTTTTTCAGTGCCAGGGGTTTAACCCAGGAGCACTCTGCCCGCAAATGATATTCCCTTCCTAGCCCCTTTTTCCTTTTTTTTGCAGGGCTGGAGATTGAACACAGGGCTTTCACGTCAAGCTACATTCCCCAGCCCTTTCTTTAATTTTTAACTTTATGACGGGGTCGTCTTATGTCACTAAGTTGTGCAGGCTGGGTTTGAACTTGCCGTCTTTCTACCTCAGCCTCTCAAGCAGCTTGGATTCCAGGTGTGTACCACATGGCCAGGAATGAGATGTTTTTTGGTGGGGGGGATGTTAAATTACAAGATCCAGTAGAGGCTCTAATAACTGCATAATGCCATAAAGGAGCATCAATCATATTTCAAGATACAATAGATCCTTGTTACTTGTGAATTTGACTGCTTGCTGACAGTGTTTCATAACCCCACAGTTAATACCTGTGGTGTTGTGCCATTATGGTCTCCCTGAGCAGTGAAGGTGTGGAGCTCTCCACCTGCCTATTTCTGGCTGAGATTGGCCAAAACCATGCTCTGCCATTTTGTTTCAGCTCTTCACTTCAGCAAGTGTCATTCATCAGGCCACAACTTCATCTTTGCTTTGGTAGTGACCTTGTTTACAGTGCCCCCAAACAGAGTGCCTAGTGTTCCCATCAGGTCTGTTCTGTGCCTTCAAGAGGAAAGACATGTTGGAGAAGCTTCACCAAAGCGTGAGTTGTAGTGGTTCTGGCTGTGAGCTCCATGTTGATGAATTTTATGTCTTAAACACAGTGCCATCCGTGAAACGAAATTGTGCACTGATTGGTTGCATCTTACATCACCACGTGATCTCGGAGCTGTGTGTTTGCTCAAGATGACTGTAGCGAACATGTCCGCCGTGGAGATCCGTTTCAGCCTGGTGCAGCGGCACGCATCTGTAGCGCAGGAATTTTTGAGGCTGAGGCAGGAGGATCTCAAGTTTGAGCCCACCGTGGGCTCCTTAGCAACTTAGTGACACCCTGTCTCAAAAGAAAAACTAAAGAAGGGACTGAGAAAAAAGGGACTGCAGAAGCCCTGGGTATAATCCCTAGTACCGAAAATAAATAAATGAATGAATAAATAAAATAGATAAATACAATTTTAAAAGTGACTGTCTCTGGAATGACTGTGATGCAACGGGAAATTATTCATGACAAAACACCCACTCAGCTGTGTTTTGTTGCCTGAGTTCAAGTTGAGAGGACGTGCTAATTTTCTTCCCAATCACATTTGTAGGTGCTCTTAATTCCCACTTCTCCAGCAGGATTGAATCTGAGAGAGGGTGAGATACGGACGCCTGTGCAGATTCCCAGCAGTCTCAGGTCCTGCTGCGTATGCACCTGTTCCAGTCCTATGAAGAGACTGTCTGCATCTCTCGAATGTCCAGTGATGTGGAACGTTTTTTCATATATTTACTTGCTGCTTTTACTTCTTTGTCTGAGAAATATCTATTCATTTCAAATGCCCATTTTTGAATTGGGTCTTTATATTTTGGGGGGGTCTGATTTTTTTTTTTTGAGTTCTTTACATATTCTAGGTGATAGTCCTTTGTCTGAGGAACAGCTGGTAAAATTTTTTTCCCACATCATAGCTTGTCTCTTAGCTGTGTTGGTGATTTCTCTTGCAGTGCAGAAGCTTTTTAATAAGATGAGATCCCAGTTGTTGATTCTTTGTGCTAGTTCCTGTGCTACTGGGGATTTGTTCCTAAAGTCTTTTCCTATGCTAATATCTGCAAGAGTTCTACGTAGCTTATCTTCCAGCAAGTTTAGTGTTTCTGTTTTAATATTTAGATCTTTAATTCACTTGGATTTTAGTTTAGTGCATGGTGAAAGATAGAGGTCTAGTTTTAATCTCTGGCAGGGTGAAATACAGTTTTTCCAGCACCGTTTATTAAAGAGGCTGTCTTTCCTCCAATGAGGATGGTTGGCTCCTTTGTCAAGGATGAGGTAGGAGTGCAAACCACATCTCCTGCTCCCAGTGCACAGTGCACAGTGCACAGTGCACAGTTGATGATAACAGCACTGACTGACACTGACCAGTTTCTGACTCTGGACCTCTCCAGTCTTATTTCTCTTTCTTGACCCGCACATACTCTCACATTGAGTGAGACCTGACCACCAGCCCTACAACTTTATCCCCATGCTGGGGGACAAGAACTAACAGTGACCTAACTGGGCACAGAAATGACTGTGAACCACATAAATATCAACCTAAACTACCATAGATTAGATTTCACCCTCCCCGCAAGGCCCATGTAGTACAGGATGGATCCCAGCCTATGGCCCTACAGGCAGGTGATGGACCTTTAAAAGGCAGGGCCTAGTGGGAGGAAGTGAGGTCATTGGAGGTGTGTCTTTGAAGGAAATAGTGGAACTCCACTCCCGCCTCTCTCTTTTTGCTTCCTGTAATATGAAGAGGCTTCCTCTGCCACATGCTTTTGCTGCCATGATGTCTTATGCCACCATAGGCTTCAAACAACAGGGCCAAGTGATGACAGGCTAAAACTTCTAAATCTGTGAGCCAAAACAAACCTTTCTTTGTAATAGAAAGCCTTTCTTTGGTAATAGAAAGCTGTCCAACACATAAACTTAAACTGCATGTATTGGTCAGTTTTCTATTACTATAGGAAATATCCAAGCAAATCAACTTAAAAAGAAGAAGGGTTTATTTTGGAGATTCCAATACATGAGTGATTGGCTCCGTTGCTCCGGGCCTGGCAGGTGCGTGTGGTGGAGGAGGCCCACTCGCCTCATGGCTGAGTACAAAAGAGAGGAGGAAGCTGGCTGGGGACCTGCAATTCCCATTGAGGGCACAGCCCAGCAACCTCAAACCTCCTCCCAGGCCCCTCAAAATTCTCACCTCCTCCCAATAACATGAAGCAGAAGACCAAGCCTTTAATACATGCAGCTTTTTAAGACCCAGAATATTCTTATACAATGTAAATGCCATGCAAATAGTGGTTGTACTGTATTGTTTAGGAAATGATGACCCATATGGCTGTATGTGTTCAGTATGGGCGAGGTTTTTTCAAATATTTTTGAACTGCAGCTGTTTGAATTCACAGGTGCAGACAGGTGATAAAGAGGGTTGATTCAACTACAAAAGGCAGTGGGTCTTTAACAGCTAACTTCCAAAGGGAATTTGAAGGTGGGCATATTGGGCCGTGCCTGTAATCCCAGCACTTGGGAAGATGAGGCAGGAGGATTGAGAGTTTGAGTCCAGCCTGGGATACGTAGTGAAGCTCTCTCAAAAACAAACAAACAAAAAAAAAACACCAAAAAAACAAACAAAACAAAAAACAAACACAAAAACAAATCAAAACAACAGCCAAAGGATATATGATAGAGGTCTATCCATGGTGACAACAATCCTGAAAATTTACAGTTTCACCAATTATGATTTATATAAAAGAAAGAAAGAAAGAAAGTTGAAAGAAAGGCTTTTAAACTATCAATAAGAAGCAACAAATTTTATTTTTTAATTCTTTCTACAGGCAATGATATCACTAAATCATTGTTGTAAGGAAGAAGCAATCAGATTATGCAGGTAAAGAATGCAAGAAAAACTTTTAAAGAAAAAAATGTTCATTTCTATGGACTTTGCAGGCTTATGTACTTGATGACTTTTAAAGGTTTGTAATTGGTTATGCTTCTTTTCTCCTTGTAAATAACTACTCAAGTTTGTACCTAATTTTTTTATTTATGGTTTTGTATTCTTTTTTGAAAGTGGATGCGTGGAACCTGGGCTGTCCCTGCTTGTGAGGGTCCTTGGCAGTCCTCCTATGCAGTGTCCCAGCTTGCCTAGCCATGCTGAAGCCTCCCTCACCAGAGTGTATGTGTCTGTCTGTCTGTCTGTCTCTGTGGCATCTGTGTTTTTAGAAGCTCCTTTAGCAACAAATAACTGTCTAAGGGCACAGATATGCCCTTGACTGGAAGGTCCTCAAAGTCCCCTATTAAAGGTTATTTCAGGTGCAGCTGGCCGGAAGCATAAAGCATCACATTGCCATTCTGCTGTGCTCTGAATCAAAAGTGGGGTGCTTTGCAAAAATTCTAGGAAAGGATCCCATGGACCCTGATGGCAGCCTCCAGGGTGGGCCGTGGAGTGCATTTGTCCAGGTTTATGCTGCCCAGGAGAGCTACTCAGTGCCCCCCTTGGTCTCCAAACACTTGCTCAATCTGGGAATTGAATGGATTCTCCTTTCCCAGGACCTGGGGCCATTGGAGCTGCACCTTCTTCCAGAAAAGGTCTGCTAACAGCAATGAAGCCACCTGCAAGAGACAGCCCAATGGGCAAAGAAAAGGGAATTACCGAGAGTGAACACTTGTCCGGCAACACTTGATGAAACAGCTGGACTCTAGCATTGTCTCTGTGAGCCCTAACTCATGTCTCCGTGATTCCCTTCCCTTGATACCAGGCAGGGGTTGGGGGACCTGTCACTCTGTCCTAACCAATATAAGTGATGGGGAACGGATGTCACTTTAGCCATTCTGCCACATTAGGGGGGACATGGCCTCGTCAGCTGGAGACTTCTTGCTGGGCTGATGGGAAGCCCTATGTCCCCGTGCTGAGGGTGACTTCCCACTGACATCAAGCAACAAGCTGGGACTTTAGCCTCAAGGGAATGAATCTGTCCACCTCCCAAGTGAGTCTGAACTCAGTTATTCCCCAGTGAAGTCTCTGGATGAGCCACTTTGAGTTTGGTTTTGTGAGATTTAATGAAGCTCTGACGCACAGAAATGGCAAGAGGATCAATGTGCATTATTTTCAGCTGCTAAATCTGCAAAAAGTTTTTGCTTGGGATTAAATAACACACACACTTTCTTAGGAATCTTCTGCATCATCTATGGACAGCTGCCCTCAGCTGCAGCTGGGGAATTTGGGGAAGATGTGACGAACCCTTCCCTCGAGGAACTTGTACACCTGCCCAATGAGGCCCCCGGACCCCAGGGTGTAGGCAGCAGGTCCTCTCAGATACCGAACTTTGAAGGAGTTGGTGAGGGATGAGGTAGGATAGGCGCTGCTGGGGGTCCCTGGAGGCAGTGTGATCCAGGATGTCAGCGGGACCCAGTCTTGGCTGCCTGCTCCTCACGACGCCCTGTGCTGAGGAGGCTCATTCTCTGCACAAGACACCCCCATTCAGCACACGCCTGGCCTGGCCCCCAGTGGCTGCGTCTCAGCAGTGGTTTTTAATACCCGACTATGAGAGGAATGAGATTGCTGAAGGCCTCGGATGGGGATGCTTTGTTGGGGACAGGTGTCCCCGACTTATTCTAAAGCACAAGGACCCTGTCTCTGGGGGGCTCACAGTGCCCCATTCTGGTCAGCAGTGTTGTCTGATTTCTGTGGCCCCCTCACACTCCCTGGTCCCTCTCATTTGTACAACAAGTGGGCTGGGGGCAATGATCTGAAGTCTGTCATCAGGTGCCATGTTTTAGTAGTTAGAAAAAAATGACAACTGATTGGTTCACTGAATGCAAATATCCCCAGTGTTTTGATGTGTTCCTGAGCTTTCTGAAGCTCTGAAATTCCATCCGACCAAACATACGATCCTGGTCACTTTCACACCGTATCTAACACTCCCATCCCTACACACACACACACACACACACACACACGCACACACACACTCTTCTTTGTACAGGACTTCAGAGTGGGAGCAAGTCTGAGGCTGCCTGTCACACTGGGCCCTTTCCTAGGAAAGGCTGGCTCCTCTGCCACGCGGAGTCATTGATGTCTTTGTAGACAGAGGCCTAGTCTTGGAGCAGTTTTTCCTGACGTTTCTCGACAAAAGAGGCTGCCACCAGGTCTGTGGAAAATTACTGGCTCTTTTTTCTTTGCATTCAAGTCGATAAACCTAAGCTGTCTTCCTAGTAATTACGCAGTTCCCAAGGCATCTGTGGGCATTTACTTCCCTATCTATGGTAATGAGGAGAGAGGGGCGAGGGTCAGGGGAGGGAAGGAATATGCAGGAGCTTGAGCTTCTGGTAACTGTTTTGAAAGCAATTAGTTGGCTGTCACTCTAACTGAGATAAAAATATTTATGAGCGGGCGCTGCTAAAATACTGGGTCTAACATGAGAGTGGCAAGGTTGTTGCTAGACCAGCAACTTAGGATCCAGTGATCCGCTAAAATCATTTATTCACTTATTTGCTTCACTCAGATTTGCTGGGCACCTCTGGGGACTCCTTGTATGACCTGTCTCTTGTCCCCCCTCCTGTGGGACACCACATGGGGCGAGGCATAGCTCCCCTTACACCCCAGGGTTTCTTGAACACAGATTCTTTTGTGCTTCTTTATCCAGAGTTTAACGTACAAAAGCAGCACCTGGTCATTCTAGGAACACTGAAGGAGAAAATTAAGCAAAGGGAGGCAAACCGACTTAGAGTATCTGCAATTAGAGAGGTAGGCTCTTCCAACATTGGGTATAGATTTTCTAGACACACGCACACGCACGCACATGCACACACACACACACAAAGTAGATCCCTCTGTGAGTATCGTTTTATAGCCTGTTCTTTTTGATGCATTAGGCACCAGTGATATTAACTCTTTCTCATAAACAGTTCTGTGAGTGCTGGAAGAGGCATGTAGCAGTCTAATCTGTGGTCCAGACTTGACTCTTATTTATTGTGGTCTCTATTTCCAACACGTTTCTGTGTTGACTTGTGTTACTGTGGAGGTAGATCTTTATTGTTTCTTTCCAGGCATGCTGTCCCATCAGAGAGACAGAAGCAAGCAAAGGTCTCGCACAGTTGGAAACATTAGGTGCACATCTCCCTGGCATTTGTCTGGAGGACAGGGGACAGGCACTCAACTTCACAGAGCAGGAAGACTCTGGGCTGCCTGGTTCACCTTCTGTGCTCACCCTCCTGGAAACAGGTGCGGGATGAGGCCAAGTCCTACAGGACAATGGGGAGAGGAGTCCTAGTGACTTGGGGTCTTCCAGGTCACAGCAATGGGCCCTTCCAGGCTTCTTCCTTGAGAGTTAAAAGACTGTCTCGTGCAGTGTCATGTAAACATTTCACCGTGCAGTGAAGCCAGAGCGGTTTCTGAGTCCACCCTGTCAGCTTCTTGTCATAGAGTGTGATCTTTTATTGAACTGCTCAATGCCTAGGGATTGTGCACAGCCTCTCTCCTCGTGGACACTGCTGGGAATCTGAGATGGATAGATGTACTGGAGTTGGGTTTCTTGAATGAAATCTGTGTGACAAGAACTTGCCTTCTTGTCCTCGCTGCTTGGTCCCTTGATTGTTTTATTTTTTAAAAAGTATAATTAGCTCAAGAGTCCTGAAAGTTGTTTTTATCTTCCTTTTCCTTCCAGAGCAAACTCTTCAATGTCTACTTTTTCTTTTTACTGGGATTAGGGCAGAATCACCATCATCTTTCATAGCTCAACACCTGCAGGAGATGACCATTTTCCTTTTAACCTGCTGCTGCTCTATCCATTTGGCATTAAGGACAAGCTTGTAGGACAGGGTTGGCGGTGTGCTTCTGCCTCACTGAACACGATTATTACAGGGCTCCTCTACCAACCTACTGGGTAGACCCTGAAGGCAGGGCTAGCTCCCATCTAACCCCAACACATCAGAATGTGTGCTATAGTTTGGGCCCCACCACTTCCAACGCTCATTGTGTACTTACAGGGATGACGAGAGGCCAACATTGGTGGCTTTCATTGGATTTACTGAGCCAACTCAGCAGATGGGCCCATTTTGGCCAAGGAGATTTAAGAAAAGAAATGAGAATCAAGGATTCTGCAAAGCTCAAGCACCTCTCCCTGAGGTTTGGATAAAGCGTCTGAGTAATAAGGAGCCTATTTCACTGGCTTGATGGGCTCTGTGCTATTGCAGGGCCTCGATTGGCTGCACAGAGGCCAGATGGCCGCGACTTCTGGCTAGTGCCATCCTCCCTTTAGGTGAGACCATGTCAGACAGAGTGTGGTGGCTCAGTAGGCCAGAATTCTTACCAGTGCTGACACAATGCAGTCAGTGATCCTTGGTCCACAGGGACTGTCTTGCTCTTCTTTGAAATTCCCATAGTAAGGGTGTCAAAGCAGGATGATATAACAGACCATTGCTTTATTTAAGCTTTTGTGGGTTTTTTCAGGTTTTACTTGTAGCCTTTGACCTCCCCAGGATGGGGAGAGGGGTGGAGGGTAGAAAAGTGGTGAAGTTTCTCGGACAGGTCCATGTCAACAGCCACCACACAGCTTTCAGAATTTCTCCTCCCTTGAGAGGACAGTGTTCATATTAAGCTGCACTTTTTGGCCTAACCCCATTGTTACGCACCAGGAGTGCTTTTCTGGGTGGGACCCCAGTTCTGCAAGCAAATTCCCCCAAGGTAGTTACTCTCCACAAGTTCACAGGACACCAGGCCCCTTTGGCACCAAAGCCTTTTTGTTTGGCCGCTAGCAAGCCCAGAGCAGGTTGTGCAGGGAACTGTTTTCTCTGAACTGCTTCTCACAGTCTCCGAAGTGTAGAACGAAGTCAGGAATCCAGCTGTAATTTCTACCTCCTTTGCCCTCCCCCCTGATTTTCGCTTCATTTTGATTCAGTTTTTCTGTCTTTTATGTAGGTACATTGCCTCATACCATTTCTGGAGTAAAACAGGATCAAAGCAAACACATCAATGTGTTAAAAAAAAAGAAATAACCACACAGGCGGCCCGCGGCAGCCTCTGTGATGTGCTCACCTCGTTGGGGTGGAATCCATCCACAGGCTCAATGAGCTGCCAGGGCTGCCCACCTCGTCTCCACCACTCTTCTATGACTGCGGCACATACAGAAGGGAGGTGTTACACATGCAGGCATAGGCACAGCCCATCGCCAGGCAAGGACCATGCGAGGCGTCACCGGCATTGTCCCTGTCTCCCAGGACCCTGAAATCAGCCTTATGGCCACCTCTGAGGTGTTGTCTAGGGCTCGGATCTTTCTGGACCGAAAATATCCTATGGTGTGATGCATTTTCACTTTCTATCTTTCATTTTGTTTGTTTGTTTTGTGACAAGGTTTCATTATGTATCCCAGGCTGGCCTCAAAATCATAATCCTCCTGCCTCAGCCTCCCAAGTGTTGGGATTACAGGAATGTGCCACCATGCCTGGCTCTATTTCCCTTTTCTAACTCAGAAAGAGAATGCATGACAGCACTAGATGAATGTAGTTTGTGTAGCAGGGAGAGGAGAAGGAAAATTACGCTCTAACACATTTCAGTCCCTCTCGTTTCTCTGAGTCCTGGTCGCACAATTCTGCAGGAGGTTAAATCTTAGCATTTTGTTAACATTTTCTCTCCTGGACTGCCACAGGCAGACACTGCCTGCCTGCGTCAAATGATCACCTTGAGCCACCGGGCAGCATGTCATAATACAGTTGCATAAAATTGTCTCACCATTGCATTTAGAGAGCATGGCTGAAGGGGAAATGGGAACCCCAATGGGACACAAAGCAATAAAACTGCCCTTCAACAGGGACAGTCACACCAAGGCAACGATGCAGTGAACTCCACGGTGCGGTACCCACGCTGGTGAGGGCTCCCCAGGGAAATGCCATGTGCCCTGGGCAGCCCCAGCAGACACTCAGAGATGTCTGTTCCCTGCTTGGCTCCTGTCCTGCTGTCCTGGTGTTCATTGAGCACAGGAAGCACAGCTGAGAGACTTGCAGTTCTTTTCTTGCCCCAGAAAATGAAAGAGAGGCCAGAGGTTGCCGCTTTTCTCTCCTCCCCATCTTGCCCAGGGAGGGTGGAGGTGCTATGGGGCCTCTGATTGTACAAGGGAAGCCTGATTTTTGCGAATGAGAAGGGTACTGAAAGATGGAGGGAGAGGAAGGGGAAGTAAAAAGAATTAAGATGTGTTATGCACATGTACCAACTCCCCATGATGAGTGTAATCATTACATGCTTCAAAATACATACTAATGAAAAATAAAAATGACGAAAAATAGGAGACTCCAGGGAGATTGTCTTGCTCTTTCTGCCACATGGGAATGCATGAAGTTGGCAGTCTGCAGCTTCAAAGAGGACCCTATGCACACCCGATCATGCTGGATCCTAGTCTTCTGTCAGATTGGTAAGAAATCCAACTCTGTTTAGAAGGCACTCAGCTTTTAGTGTTTAATTATAGGAGCCGGAGCTGCCTAAGGCAGATATAGAGAAATTCCCAAGCAAGGCTGAAAAGACCAAGCAGTGGGAAAGGAACCCCATCCAGACCTCAGACAGAGCCTGAAGGGAGGGGGCAGAGTTGGGTGGTGAAGGACAAGGCGAGGTCACCTGTTTGCGTGACACACAGCAAGCTGTGACTTACCCGGACCCCCTGATGTCCTCTGGTCCTGTTGGGGAGGAAGCCTTACACAGACTTTATAACTTTCTGTGTTTCTAGAGAAGGTTAAAGGATAAATTCCCTCAATACCTAAGGCTTCTGTGGCCAAGGGAAAAGGATTAGGGTGACCAGGAGATCTTGAAACCCCAGAGGATAAAGCAGATTTGAGCTTCTTGAGGAAATGCAAGGAAGCCAAGACTGTGTTCCATGGAGAACTGTTTACTAATAGCTCCATGTTGGAAAAGGCTGACTCGATTCTATGTGAGTTTCCTTGCACATGGTTCATTTTTGGCACCTGGGCTGGAAGTTATTCTAGGCTATCTTCATTTTGATATAAATTGTATGTCACAAACTACAAACTAAAAACTTGGCCCTTAGATATGTTGGCAGTGATCCTCATGGGGCCGACAGAGGACAATCCTGTGTGTTTCCTCCTAATCAGGATGAGTGAGTTCTTTCAAAGGGAGAAGGTATGGTCATTCCTTCCTATGCCCTTTGGAGGTTTGGACAGTTCCGTAATGGTGGGTGTTATGAGAAGAGAACACGAGAACAAAAGCATAAAGAAAAGAGGGGATATACATTTGCTAAGTTAAATTCTTATTGTTGTTATGCTTGTTATTATTTTTGAAGTACCAGGGGTTAAACCCAGGACCTTTGCCTTAAGCTACATCCCCAGCCCTTAAAAACACATTTTAAAAAAAAATTTTGAGAGAGTGTTTTACTAAATCACTAAGCTGCTCAAGCTTAACTCAAACATTTGACCCTCTTGCCTCAGCCTCGTTACAGACATGCACAGCCATATTGGCTTATCTGCCACATTTTTGCCTTGCAACAGGGATATGAGCTGGGATGAGGGCCAGTGGTGGAGGGCCATTTTTTATTATCACCAGACTCTGGTAATTAAAAGCGATATATCGATGATAACATACACCTCCTTCCCAGGAAACTTATTCCTCCCTACCCAGCCCTATCTCTCTCCTGATTAGTAGACCAAGGGAGTCCAGCCTGTAGAAGAACCGTCTTCCTCCATAAAATAATACAATAGGTATTAAAAGAAAAAGCCACAAGATTTCCAAATCCTCAGTCAGTCTCTTCACTGAGCAAAACATCATTTTCTCATATGATCATTGTGTCTTGAGGGCACTGGTTACTGTATAGGAGCAGACATCGGGATTGTAAAATGTAAAGGTAGTCCAGTCACTCACAGAAAAGGGTGTAAGTGTTTATCTGTACCTTCACTATTAATAAACAGAATGATCCTTTTTAAAAAACTGAAGGATGAAGCTCAACTCTCAGGAGCCTTTCTGTCCTCTGGTGATTCGAGAGTGGCAGCTATAATCCAGGGTACAAGATAAGCTGGTCACTTTCTCTCCTACCTGTGACCATCGTTTTCAACAGGGCAAGAAATTTCCGTTTGCTCCTCATAAGACCAGAGTTAAATTTCTGTAATAGTCTCAGACCATCTGTGGGGATTCAGGGCATAATGTATTTTCTTGATCTGTGAAGTCAGAGAAATCCTACTAATCAGTGTTTCAAAGGTGTGATGGAAATGGCGGAGGAAGAGTCAGCAGGCACTTGGTAGCTCTTTGAAGCATAGCAATACTAGCATGGATTCTAAAGAGAATCTGGCAGTGTGGTTGGCAGCGCTAAGTCAATTGCAGTCTTTGCAAAAATGCTACCTGGGAGGCCAGAATGAGGACCGTCCCAATCAAGTTGTGTGGTTGGCTGAGGGCTGCTGGAGGGATATTTAACCTGTCAGTGGGAAAACACCCTTGGCAGTGAAAGGACATTTTTCTCTCCTGTGCAGGGAGGAGCAGGGTAGACAGAAGAGATGCTTGAGCAGGCTGGGAGGTCAACCACAGTGATGGACTGAGCAGCAAAGGACCCCTCCATCAACTCGGGACAAGGCTAAAATTTTAAGTTAAGTGTGTTGTAACTTGGGCCTAAGTCAAAGACATTACAACAGTTTCTGAAAATCAGATAAAAGTTCTAGCTATTTCCGCAGTAGACATTGTAGCATCTAGCCATTAGATGGAGGCCAATGTATCAGATGTTCATTAGGCAGGGCCCAGGGCACTTTCCTTCTGTCTCCACTCTTGCTTTCACTGTGTCCACATGTCATCCCAAGTGTGTGCCCTCTGACTTCATGTGGGAAGACCAGGAAGATACTGGATCAAAGCCTGATCTTCATACTTCCTTCCTTTCCCTTTCCTTCCCTTCCTGCTCCCCCCACCCTGCCCCCTTCCTTCCTTCCTTTCTGTGATACTAGGGATTGAACCCAGGAGCTTTGCACTGAAGCACATTCCCTGCTCTTTAAAAAATGTTTTTTTGAATTTTGAGACAGAGTCTCACTAAGTTACTTAGTTTCCCAGGCTGGGCTCGAATTTACAATCCTCCTGTTTCAGCTTCTCAGAGTGATGGGATTATAGGTGTGTGCCATCAAGCCTAGCCATGCTGATTCTTTTTTTTGATACTGGGGATCGAACTCAGGACCTTGCACTTGCAACCATGCTGATTCTTAAGAACTAGTTAAAGCAAATGGATTGTAAAACAGGAGGTTCCTTGAAGTGTGAATGGAAATCTACAAGCAGAGGCAATACCCGTAAGGTTGCAGCCATGTTGATGTAGAAGGTCTGGTTCAGTCTAACCCAACTTTCTGCTGTTGAACTGTATTTATTATTGCTATGAAAACAAAAAAAAAGCTAACAATGGTCTGCTTTCCATCCACCATGTCACCAATAGGATGCTGGCTGGGGTTGTGTCCAGGATAAAGCTCTTCTCTCTATACTCTCCATGAAGAGAATTCTGTTTGGTTGACAATTATTTTCCCAGCACCTACACAGATCTTGGCACATGGAGGACTTAGCAAAGATCTAGTGATTGAGGAAGCCTTTAATTGTGGAGAATTGGAGAGCTCCAGTATTGAACTTCAGTGGACAGAGAGTTGACCTGTGGATGGGGTTGAAATGCAGATTGTGCTTATGTGGAGGTGGGGCCTGAGATTCTGCACTTTGAGCAGCCCAGATGGTGTTAGTTTTTCTCACCCAGAATTGCATACTGACAAGGGCGTCAGGGTACCATTCTCTTTCCTGATGGTGTACCAAGCATAGCATTTATTAGGGTGACACATATAGCATGATCATTCCAGAGATTTGTTAGGTAGATGTGGATGCCCTACATCCAGGCGTGGAAAGGAGAGGTCAGAGATACTCAGAGGGCTACTGCAGTCCCAGAGATCATAAATGTCAGAGGTGGGGGTCACTCTGGGAAATAAGGAGTCCCGTGTGAATGCTAGCCATGATTGTGGTTTTAATAACTTTATCTATATTCAAGGTTGGTGATGACCAAAGATCACTTAGTGGTGCATTGGTTTACACTGGGAATTCATGAGCCAGTCTTCAGGGTCTCATTTCAATGAGAGGTTATTTATACAATGAGAGCTTATTTATCAGGATGTCTCTCCCCATGAGAGAAATGTCCACCACATAGGCAAGAAATCTAGTTAAGGGAGATGAGTCCTGTGAAAAGATGATAGGATTGAAGTACTAGAGTGTACAATACATGGCGTGCCAGCTAATGTAATATTTGATAATTCACGTTGGCCATCTCTTCCATCCCTGATGCTGAGGCTGGGGGTGGGGGATAGAGGTGATAAACTCCGGATGAGAAATCTTTCATCCTTTGCACACACTGTAAAGCTTTTCATGAGCATTATCTCAGTTGGCAGTCAATCAACGGGGGGCTTTCCTCTGGTAGGAAAATTGCTTAGCAATGAAAATCTGGAAGATTGCAATCAGTAAATAATAATTTGCAGAGTCAAGACATAAAGGATAAATCAGTAGCTTCGGTCATCATGCTGGTTTTTGGGAGGCCACTTTTCAGTTACGGGACAGGATGTCAAAAAAGAAGCCTGTTCCCAGAAAGCTGGGGCATGCATTGTTTACCTTGCCATGGACCAATTCTTTGGTCCCTCTCTTAGAGATTATGATCAGATTTAGGTTCAGGCTCCTCTTGTGTGGGGCCTGGGAATCTTCACTACAGCTGAGTCCCTAGGTCACCCGGTGCTTCCCTATGAGACGCACTGCCATGGCATTGGTCACATCCAAGTTGTGCCCATGGGCAAGCAGGGGATTGCTGACCAGAGAGAAGACCCCAGGTCCCCAGGAACCTTCAGCCATCTGATCTTTGACAAAGGTGCCAAGAGGAAAGACTGCCTCTTTAACAAATTGTCCTGGGAAAACTAGCTATCCACATGCACAAGGTCGAGTTTAGACCCATGTCTCTCTAAACTAAAATAAAAATGGATCAAAGGCATACATATTAAAGCAGAATTACTGAATCTGATGGAAGATAAAATAGGTAAACCTTTTGAAGACATAGGCATAGGCAAATATTTTCTAAACATAGCCCCAATTCGGTGAGAAATATCATCAAGAATCAACAAATGGAATCATATCAAATTAAAAGGCTTCTGCATAGCAAAGGAAACCACCAACAGAATGAAGAGACAATGTACAGAACAGGAAAAATTTTTTTGCTAGCTACTCCTTGGACACAAGACTAACGTCTATAATATGTAATTAAAAAATATTAGACCCCTACCAAATAAGATCCAATAAGAAAGTGGGCAACTAAATGAATAGATATTTCTCAGAAGAAATACAAATGGCCAATAAATAGCAATAAATACATAAAAAAAGGTCAACATCTCAGGCCATTAGAAAAATACAAATTAGAACAACACTGAGATTCCATCTTACCACAGGAAGATTGGCCATCATTTAAAAATGAAATAATAAAAAGTGATGGTGAAGCTACGGGGAGAAAAGGAAACCTTGTGCACTTGTAGTGGGAATATAAGCTCTTGTAGGGAAATAGGTATGGAGATTGCTCAAAACACTGAAACTAGAAATTGCATTTGACCCAGCTGTTCTCCCTGTAGGTGTCTTTTTTAACAGAGTTAAAGACATCATGTTACAGTGACACATGCATTTCCACGTTTATAGCAACACAACTTGTAATAGTTAAATCTTGGAAGTGGGCTGTATCTCTATGAATAGATGAATGGATAAAAAAAAGGTGGTATTTATAAACAATGGAGTACTTCCTCTGCCTTAAAGAAGGACAAACGTGAGTCATTTGCCGGAAAATTTGTGCATCTTGAGACCATAATGTTAAGTGAAATATCAGACACACAAGCTTCAATGTTGCATGGTTTCTTTTATACAAGAAACCAAAAAACATGCATAAAGAGCGAAACAAAAGATAGATAATAGAAAGCAGGGAGATAGATCTTTTGGAAATGAGAAGAGTACCACAAGATGGAGAGAGGGGCCAGAGAAGAGAGGGGAAGAGGAAGTAAAAAGGAGTAAGCTGTGTTAGGTACTCATAGCAATTCCCCACCCACGAGGAATGTAGTCACTATGTAGGCACTGCACGTATATACTTGAAAAAACAAGGTAGGACACTCCATGCACCTGAAGTCTTCCAGCCAAATGCTCTTTCCCACTGGTCCCTGGCTTTAGAGACTCTAAAATGATGGTGGAGTAGAGAGGTGACATCACGTCCCAAAGTCCTCAGACTGTGTTCATGGTTTGTCTTTTTCTTTTCTCAGCACTGGTGCCGGGCAGGCAGGAAAAACCCTGCCCAGCCTGCTGCTTGCTGTGTGGCCCCAAATGCTGCGTAAGGTAGCTGCTGTGCCTGTCTCTGTCAAGACCTAAAACAGGTGACTTACTTTCTTCAAAGGCAAAATCCATGTAGAAAAGATCGAAGTTTGTAAACTTCTCGCTGGCTGCAATTTTTTTCAGTGTATCGGAGAGTTGTTGTGCTCTCTGCATAGAAGGAAAATGAAAAATTCCATGACACCTAGATTTGGACTTTCATGAGACAATTCAGGCAGAACAAGAAATCCGTCTTCCCCTCCTAACTCCACCTTCCTCCCTCTAAGCCGTGAGCGGAGACCAGCTCCCCACACTCCGTTCCATGCACATGTAAACAACCAGTGAACATATGAAAATGTTAACTTTCCTTAGGAATCAAATCAGAGCCATTTGAGGTAATAAGACACTACTTCTGCCCCGTGGAATTGGCAAAGAAGCTGAGAATAGTCTTGCTAATGTCGGATGTTGGCAGGAGTAGGCGAGAACATTGGTCGTTTTTGCCTTCCTAGACAGTAGTTTGGCAACGGGGACCAACCCATAAACTGGCCCTACACTTTGACCCCATGAGTTCTTATGGGAGCTTGTCCTAAGGAGAAAGGAGACAGAGATGTACTCAGAAGCATCCATCTTTGTATGTGTGGTAGTTCATCACAGTGCTGTTTATCACAGCGAAGGACTGGAAACAACCCATATATCTAACACCAAGGGTTGAAATAAATCATGGTGCACTCATATATATGCTTTATCCCTTGAAAGGGTTGTGTTATCATGATGAGATGTGTCATCTTTGGGATGCATAAAAGAGGAAGTGTGTTCTCATGCTAGGAAGGGAGAAACCAAACATACCTATCTATACAGAGAATACTGGAAGTACATATACACGTGGTGTTTTGGGCAGATTTTGTCATTTTTATGTTCTCTGTGGTTTTTTTAATTGAATATTTAAAAAAAATCAATAAATCCTTTGCAAACATTATTTGCTATCTGTAAAAGAAGTACAAAGCATTTTGCTTAAACAATGGATTCCCTTGGAGACATGAGGAGCTCCTCACTGACCTTAGCGAGGGGCAGTTGCACACAGGACTGAACTGGCTCAGCTCTCTGCATTTCTATAAGTTGCACAGTGTGTGTGTGTGTGTGTGTGTGTGTGTGTGTGTGTGTGAATGCGTGCACATGTGTGCATGCATGGGAGAGACAGAGACTGAGACATGTAGGAGAGACAGATGCAGAGAGAAGCAGTGGGAAGCGGGGTGCCCCAAATTCTCTAGGTTCTTTGAGCACCCTGGCTTGATCTTGCTGTTCACCAGCTTGGTGACCATTAGGTCACCAGAAACCCTGTCCCCAGTGAAAACTGTAACAATCAGAGATGTGATCCAGGGGCTGGGGACAGTCTTACCTCAGAGGTGAGAGTCCGGAGTGTCTTGTTGGAGGACATCCAGCCGTGGCAGGGGTTGATCTGAAGGCAGAAAAACATACTGTGGTCAAAGGACAGTGATAGGTCACAAATGTGTGTGTGTGTGTGTGTGATGTGGCCTTGGAGCAAGTCGGTGGGCTCACCTTCAGGCAGCTCAGGAAGGAGAACACCTGTGCATAGGTCACATCTTTGTTTAGCTGGCCTAGAAAACAGAGAGATCTAGTATGTCACGTGCACTCAGACATAGTGACATTTAGAGCCTTTGGAGGTGACCTAACTTTCAGGGGACTTGTCCTAACCTGCCACTCTTTCTCTTGGTTTCTTTATTTTGGAGTCAGGATCTCAGTATGCTGCCCAGGCTGACCTTGAACTCCTGGCCATAAGTGATCCTCCCACTTCAGTCTCCCAAGACTGGGATACAGATGTTGTCACCCTGTCAGGTAGTACTGTTCTTGAAGAATACTCATTCTTTACTTCTTCTGCACCCCTACAAATTCAGACCCTGATTTGGAGAGGGGTCTGAAGGAGTCGCCCATATTGCTTTTGTTCTGGGTGAGGACAGGGCCAGAGGGCTGGCCTTGTCTCAACTCCAGTGTAAAGGAATCCAAGTGTCCCATGCCTTGGTGTGGACCTGAGTGCCTTGAACGAAGCCCTTTGCAGGCAGCAGCTTGTGCCTGGGAATGGGATGCAATGCTAAGTTCCCATGGGCATGGGGAATATTCACACCAGTAGTTGATTGAATCCTTCTTTCTGAGTTTATGAAGCACCTAGGCCTGGCCCAGTTATACTGCGCTGAGGCCCTTGCAGGACAGTCCAAGCTCTAACTGTAGAGTGTTCTGCAGCCCGTGGACCTGGAGGTCTCCACACACCCCTGGGCATGGAGGCAGTGCATACCTTGCCTTCCACCTTGGTCCTGGGCTGGGGGCTTCCCAGGGTCCTATATATGACCCTAATCAGTACAAATGTCCTAACTCGTGTTTTGGTGCAGGTCACATACATCATCAGAATGAAGAGAAAAGAGACATGTGGAGGTCCATCCTGAACATCATCACAGACCCAGAATCTTCTCTTCCTGCCCTCTCCCTGCTTCCAGCTTGTCACTCCAGAGGCAGCTGCCTGTTGTGCTGTGGCTGACACATAAAACCCAGGTGCCCCTGATCTGCAGGCTGAGTGACTGCAGGCTGTGACTGTGAACATTTTTCATACACTTGAAAAGAAAATCAAAGAAGATAATCAGACAGGTCTCAGAGCACAGAGGAGATGGCAGTGAGGGGACACAGTCTTATTTTCCACTTAGGCCCCAGATTGCTTAGACTGGAAGATGGAGTCAATTTGCCCATCTCTGAAAAATACATCATCTCTGTGTGAGTGAGTGACACTGTGGGCCGGAAAGCCACAGCCTTATTGCTGCCATCAAAGTCACAGCAGCCCATCAGATCTCTCTTCTGCATCTCCACAGTGTAGACAGACCCCATGCTGCTGGTTCCTGTCCTTGAGTTCATTGCACAGCCTTGAGCCCCTCCCAAGTTCCCCCTTCTACCCACAGATGCTTCTTTCCCTCTACTTTGTTTCTTTTCTTTTGAGGCTTTCTGCAAAATGTCCCCTCCCCTTGTGTCCCTGCCTGGCTCAGCCCCGTCCAGCTGCAGTGACTGTCCCCCTCAATCTCCACTCCCCAGCTGGTCCTCCACGTGCCAGGCACATGACTCTGCCCCCACTTTGGTCTGCAGATTTCCTCTTGCCTGCCTCTGTCTGCCTGGCCTTTGCCCCAGTATCTGCCACCATCTTGTGGCATTGGAACAGGGACCTCATAATGAGTTAGGTAGCTGGGTCAGGGCCCTGGCATCCTGTTTGGCTCTGATGAATCCCCTCACCCTGAGGGATAGTCTGTCTCTCTTTACCCTGTTCAGTGGCTGGCTAGGAATTACCCTCTGGCCAACCTTCCAGAGGGACTGCAGTTTGTTCTGCATCAGGGACACTGGGAACTTAACCACTGGCTGCTCCTTGGGGGTTAAATCAGTCACAGCTTTGCTCATTCTGATCCTCTCACCCTCCTTACTGTTCCCCTGCTGAGGTCCCAGCATGTCTTTCAATGAGACCATCCTCCTCCAGACCCAGTCCAGTACCTTTCCCTTGCCCCTCTATCTCCCTTTCATTCCAGCACCAGCTCCAGGAGAATCTAATGGAAAAAGGGACAAGCTTAGTGTGAGTTGCTGGGTGTGCTGAGCAGGTGTGGTGGGTGGTAAGTGGGAGATATTCCTGGGATGCTCTTCCTCTCTGTTTCTCCTGGCTAGGCCCCAGGGAGGCCGGCTTGGGAAGCTGGCAATGGGTTGGTGCCTTAAAAGGAAAGGAAGAAGCAAAAATGACTCTCAAACTCCTTCCCTGTCTTGGTACTTACTACCAGCTAATTATTCCCTCTTTCTTTTGTACAATTCCCATTATTCCTGTTGCTTTAATGTAATTTTTCACATGGAGAAGCCCTGCTATAAGGATTTGTTCCACTTCTGTGCTGTACATGTAACAAAGTTTGCTTGTAACTGTCTAGTCAGGAAGTCATTTGAGTTGAGAGAGCAGATCAAGAATGCCCAGAGCCAGGGATGCAGACAGGGGACTGTCCCACACTGTGTAGGAAGTACCAGGGCCTGAGGAGTTACCAGGGTGTGTGCACGCGTGCCTGTGTGTGTGGTGTGAGGTAGGGGGTCTGTGGCCAGGCCCAATCGAGGCCATATGCACTCTGAAGATCAGAGGCACATTCTACTCCAGCTGGCTAGGAGCACCAGTTTGTGTCTTACTACTCTGCAAGTTCTTTCAGGCAGAACCTTTGACATTTATTTAATGCTCGGAACATAAACTGAAATCTAAGGTACCATAAAAATCTTAGTACCAACAAAGATCAGTCATATCTTCACGAACTACATTCTAAATGTATCAAAACCACCTCAATTCAGATGGGAGAAAGCCGGTAACACAAAATATAAATTACAAAGTATTTTCAGATACATTTGGTTTCAAATTTAAGAGTAACCGGGGCAAGATATTGAATTGCTTTGTGGCAGAGACCCTTCAAGGGAGCCTTACTCGCAGACTTCTTTGTAACTATCAATCCTTGACTCCTTTTCTTTTCTTTTTTAACCCTTATTTTCTCTTTCCTTCCCTTCTCTTCTCTTCCCAAGAAGATCTCACTGTGTTGCCCAGGCTAACCTCAAATTCTTGATCCTTCTTACTCAGCCTGCCCGGTAGCTGGGATCACAGACATATGTCACCACACTAGCTCTTTTTTCTTTTTTCGGTACTGTGGTATAATCCTTCGAGCAACTCCCAGAATGCCAGTGGCTCAGACCACTGTCCTTGGCATTCCGTGTTTTCACTGTCAGAATTTATATTCTGTTTTCCAGGTGAGGTGTGTTTTCTCTCCCAGTTGAGGATAAGGACTCCATTTTATGCCATCTTTATCCAAAAGCACAGGAAGGCATTTCAGACACCTTTCTAGAATGGCTGGCTTCATCATACATTATGGCTGTGAGGGCTTGGGGTTGGTCAGGATTGACTATTACCCAAAGATTTATAAAGTAGAATCCCAACATGTGGGACTTGCTACCCGGCAATTCCTCAGAAAGATGTGAACACCCACCAGGAGTCCTACTTCCTGGCAGAGACAGTGGGCTTGGCTTGTTCTAACTCTTGGTGGTAGCTGTGGCTGGAAGAGACTCACAGCATGGCCGAAGAGGAGTGGTGCTATGGTACAAAGAGCCCTGTCTCCCTGTGGTCTGGCAGGAGTGAGGCAATGGATCTGTTGCCCTTCCAGACCTTCACTCCCTGTCATTTTGGTGCTGTGACATTTCACCTCTTCTTTGCTGAGGGACCAGCTGTGTTCCACTGTCCCATGAAGGGAAGGGAGGGGACAGAGAATGTATCACTGGCCAGGGACTCTTCCCCAGCCCTCTGCCCCCAAACTCTTCCTTTACCCTTACATGGTGGCTTGGCAAGTCCTCAGGGTCCCACCACCACTTTTTTCTGGGTTCAAATACAGAAATAAATAGTCCTGCTCTCCCCCTCCTGGCACAGTGCCCTGGGCATTGGATTCCAGGGCCTGATTGTTGGTTGGGACAAGATCTATTTCACCAAACCCAGGAGCTGGTCCAGCATGGAAACCCCACTCCACGATGGGCTCCTGTCCTGTGAGAATGGAACACACAGGCTGGGTCTGTTGGGGAGCTGAAGAGACAGAGTGTATCCCCTCTGCAAGTTGCCTGGAGGAGCCTCAAGGAACTGGGGAGGCTAGGCAAACCCACCTCTCCCTCCTAATTCTTTCTAGAAAGGACCTTGATGTTCACTCAAGAAATGTATCACTTATTTCCCATGGCAACCAGGCAGAAAGGATAATTTGGGATGTGAATAATTACTTCAACATTCAGCAAATTTACATGGCCTCCACTTTTCCCCTAATTGGATTTATTTTTTTTCAAAACTAGGGCTTATATAGGACACATTTGTCCCATCTTTTCCTGGTCCCCCTTTTTGTGCTATGAAAGGGCTGAATGCAGGGCACCGTCCTATGCATTGTGGGATGTCAGCAGCTGCCGCAGACTCCACCCTCCCAGGCTTTGTATCCTGGTGTGAGACAAGGGTGGGGTGGCCTTTGTCTCTCTGAGAACCTGTGCCTAGAGAACCTGCAGAAGTGGATGCTGACTTTCTCAACCACTTTTCCTCTTCTCTCTGCCTTTCCAAGTGGCATGGAGTCCTTATTATTGATTACTCTTAAGTCAGGCAGTCGTATGGCATCTTGGGAAGGATTTGTGGACACAGGCTCAGCAGGGCATATGGAAAGAGAATGGGATTTGAAATGAGAAAAGAACCCAAAGTCACATCAGAAGTCCCTCTTGGTGTGAAGGAGTAAATTGGAGCACATTTCTCTGCCCCTCAACTTGCCTTCCTTAGGGATTTATTAGCATGGGAAATATTTAGCAGTTTAGCAGTTAGGAATTCGTAATTTCATTAGGGACTCTACCGCGGGGATGAAAGTGTTTATGCTTGAGACAAAGAGACATTCTCAGTGTACACGGTTGAGCTCTGAGCCCACAGGGAGTTGGCTGAGGTTCTCCCCTGTGTTATCTCATGGGGTCGTGGTCACGGGGTGTGAACAGGAGGAATACGCTCTCCTAGCAAGGTGGGACAGGGTCTGCTTCAGTAATGATATTTGTGATACCTTTTGGAAAGTGGAGCAGATGCAGACTTACTCCTCAGCAAGGGAGTGAGTCTGAATGCAGATCTCTACTGTGTCCCCCCAGGAAAGAGTAGAAGCCAGTTAAAGGACACCTGCAGTCCTCGAGAATTGGGTAGTGTTTCCTCAGGGAGGAGTCTGGGAGGTGGGCTTAGCCCGGGTAGGATTGGGTCAGCTTTCATAGCATGCTTGCCTGCTTTGTCTTCCTCCTGGGTCACCTGTCACCCTTTGGAGTAGTTTCCACTGTAATCTAAGTCTAGGCAGGGATTTGGACAGTTGTGTTCATGGCTGGTTATCCAGTACCCAGAGCACTGCCCAACACATAGTGGGCCCTTAGTAATTTTGAAGGGAGGCTCTCTGGAATAGAGAAAGCAGTACCCTGCACACCCAGCTTTCCCACAATGAGCTAGCCATGCAAGCTCAGCTTGACAAACTACCTTACCTGTCTGAGCCCTAGTATTTTAGTTAGTGAAAACTCTGATCTCACACGGTTGCTTTAAGGATTGGCATAGTGGCTCTTCTTAAGACAAGCAGCTACCCTTTTTACATTCTTTGCACACTATCTGGAGGATCAGAGCTCTTGTTAGAAAGCTTCTGAGGGAACTTTAAAGCCAGAGTATAGATGCAGGGAACCATCTGCCCTTAGGACTGGTTCTGTAGAGTTCTAACTGACCACCAGGAGGCCCTCACACTGAGATGCACCCATTCTCTTGATTTAAGCTCCAGTCTTTCCATTTGTCCTAATTCTTCATGAGTTACTTGTATCCTTTCTGGCTCTGGACTGGGTTCTGCCCATGTGTGCCTGGGGAATGCCCTCAGGATTGTACCTAGGCACTCTTCCCTCAATGCTCTGACTCTTGTTCTGTGATGAGCCTTGGGCAGATCCTAGAAGGTCTTTGCATACATGCAACCATATACACATGGACATTGATAAAGTATCTGCCAGTGGATACCCAGAGGATGATATCTGTCATGCAAATTCTCCCAGAGAAAGGTTCCATTCGGCAAGCCATGTAAAACCACGTGGCTGCCCTCAGGCAGGTGGGAATCGAGGTGCTTCAAGGTCTGCATAACATTGGAGTAGAGTTGCTCTGGAGTGGTCATTTCCGGGACCGGGTCAGCCCTCCTATGGGAGAAGGAACAGACCATGTCTCAGTTGATTCTAAGGATCGAGGATACATATAAATACAAGATACAGCACACACGGGCACGTGTACACACTCATACACACACGTATCCACACACACATACTGTGGTGGTTATGGGTACTATTTTATAAAATCTTCCTGGTTTTCTGGCCCATGATCAAATTGTACTTCCTGCTTCCCTTGTGGTTGGGTGGACCATGTGACTGTTTGGGCTGTGAGTTGTGAGCAGAACTGAGATGGGTCAGGTCTGGTGGTGTGAGAGTCCCTAAAAGGTTCTTTTTTTTTTTCTTTCTTTTTCTATGAGCAGTGTTCCAGATAGCTGTTCCACCCTGAGGGCTGGATCCAGTCCCTTTGTGATACCTGATAGACGTGTAGCTAGGGTGGGAAGGAAGTGCTTGATACTTTATGCTTCTAAGATTTAGGGGCTGTTGTCCCTGCACAACCAGCTCACTTATCTTGACTTACGCATAAAGGAACCAAAGAGCTCTGGTTTGGCTTATGATTTATTCATAGCTTTGAGCTCTGAAACTTGGTCTTTAAAACTTGGCACACATATCACAGTTAGGGAAACATAATTTCACAGATAAATGAAGTTATGGTCTATGTCTATACTATATCCTGCTTATGGTCCTTCTCTGCACACTGAACTTGGACTTCTATGCATGTCCTAATACATTCCTACACTGTGCTACATCACAGCAACACTATTTACCAACAATTCTGTTTTGTATCATTGTCTTTCTCTATGTGGTAGTGGGTGTGCTCTGTGAAGGATATTTTAATTTTTAAATTATACTTTCCACTAATTTAATGAAAGCTCAATAGAAACAGAAAGTGCTAATGTTAGTTATGAAATCAAGCATTTAAGTCAAAGAGTGATCATGAGGGAGCTAAACGTAGATAATCTATACCTCCACCAGACATTTATTAAATTTAATGCGATTGACTCATTTTCAAGGGGTTTAGGAAAGAACAGAAGTAAGGAATATCCAAAATTCTAAAAATACATCACTGGTACTTGTGTTAAAATTTTATCTACATCTATCATCTATCTATTTTGATCAGCCTATTTAAAAGGCAAGGGATAAATTGGGATGCTAGCATTTTTGGCAGTAATATATGACTATTATGGCTCATTTTTTGCACAGCTGAGTCCTGAACACATTTCAGAACACACCAAATGGAAATTAGAATGCTAACCTGCATTACCCTAAGGAATAATTACACAATTCTCTGAGGTTTTCATGTGTTCTTCAGGCTTTAAATTTCCTGTTGTCAACCTAAATGGAATTATGCTAGAGAGCTGCTTTCTATTCTGAGTCCTTAAAATTCCAAATTTACCTAATGATTCTGAAGTGGCTGAGTAGAGCCCCTCAGATTGTAACATTATTAGTTTATATTATTATTATTATTGTTGTTATTATTGTTATTACTGTTGAGATGAGGTGATACTAGACTAGGAGGGCTGTCAGAAGAGGAGAGGACACTGACACACACAGGGAGACTGGAGAGACCCAGTTACGCACCCAGAGTTTCTGATAATGCTGGTGTACATAGAAAGAGCCAGCAGAGATTTCCCCTGAGCTCCCAGAGGGAGCCTGGCCCTGCTGACACTGATTTTGGACTTCTAGTCTCCAGCACAGTGAGAGAATATATTTTTGTTGTCTTAAAGCCTCCCAGCATGTGGTAATTGGCCATGGCAGCCCTGGGGATTTCAATATATGTCATAATACAAAGTGATGAATCCCTTACTCTGAGGCTGGACCAGGGGCAGAGATAATATAGGAAGAGGGGATAGGACAAGGGCCGTGGGGACATCCACTAGTTTCAAATTTTATTCTCCCTCTCTCTCTCTCTCTCTCTCTCTCTCTCTCTCTCCATACTGTTCTTAACTTTAAGGGAACTCCTAACTGAACATTGCCATTCCCTTTAGGAAGACAATTTTTCAAAATATATCAAAGTTTGAAGGTGGCTTAACTTTAGAACTGAAGATTAAACCTAGGAAGCACCAAACTACTTTTTAATTTTGAAATAGTTTGGCTAAATTGCTCAGGTTGACCTTGAACCTGAGATCCTGTTGCCTCAGCTTCCTCAGCAACGCGTATTACAGGCATGCACCACCAAACCTGGCTAAAAGTAGTCTTTTTTTTTCTTTTTTCATAGTGCTGGGGATTGAACTCTTCACACTGAGTGGCATCCCCAGCCATTTGTTTATTTATTTATTAAATTTAAAGACAGAATCTCACTAAGTTGCTAAGCTGTCCAGGCTGGGCTCAAACTTGCAATTGCTCCACCTCAGCATCCTACTGTGCCGGGATTACAGGCGTGTACCACCAGCTGAGTGACTAGGTTTTATATTTACTGTGTGGTTGGAGTGTGCATGAAAGGCAAGCTTGGTGTCTACACCTGCCTTCTGCCATTGGTAGAGAAGGCACACATGCTCTGTCAGCTTTTGCCTTGTTATCCCCTCTGTCTTTTTTTTTTTTTTTTTTTTTTTTGCTGTGGACACAAAAACAGTTTTGCACAGAGCAGTTATGGAGCTCTCCAACCACATAAAGGTAAGACGAGTCAAGATGGAGGAAAATATCTCAAACTCCCTATTTAATGATTATTTTTTTAATTAGAGACACAACCCTGATCATAGGCAAAGAACCTGTGCTAATTTGTACTACTTAGGAAAGGGCACCCTGAAAGCTAAACAAGCATGCTCCAAATGGCTAATTGCGAAGTGAAACCAAAATAGATGCCCTAGTGTTGTTCATGGAACATTCTCTGGACATCTTGGTTCCATCTTGTATCTGATTTAACACCTTGCACATGTCATCAGTGAAATCCTTCTGCAGAGCAGAATCAACCAATTCCTAATGCAGGGGAAGGCAAAGGTCTATGGACCAGTGGTGATCAACCCTTCTGACTGCCACAGAAGGTGCTTTCTGATCTTTCCCTGGAAAATTCTTAAAGTCATTTGATCTGTACACTCTTTCTCTTCTGGTGATATTTTAGGGGATTAAGTACAAGTATTTTGGGAACCAGAATGTCCCTGTGGTTTGGGGAATATCTCCTAGGTCTTTCTGAGGTCTGCCAAAACTGAATGGGCTGAGCTGGAGGTGCCTGATCCTTTTTAACCTGGGTGTTTAGGAACAGCATGTCTGGGCCCCTCTACCGTACTGGGTTTGTCCAGTGTTACGGACTTAAAATGTCCCCCTTAGTCTCAAGCATTCAGAGGTGGGTCTTGGAAGGTGGCCTTCTGTGGCTTCATCCACTGAGAGTCCCTAGCTGGATGTGCTGTGTGAGTAGGTGAGGCCTGGTTGGAGATGGGTCACTGGGGGTGTGACTCGGAAGGGTGCATTCTTGCCTCCTGCTCTTCCTTTCTCTCTCAATTTCCTGATCATGAGACAGTGAGCACCTTTCCTCTGCCAGGCCCTCCTGTTGTGCTCTTTCTGCCTTGAAGCTAGCTTACCATGGACTGAACCCTCTGAACCATAAGCCAAAATAAACCTCTCCTCTTTTAAGTTGCAAGTGTTCCATATTTTTCCCCAGTGATAGGAAAGTGACTAATGTACCCCCCCCATCCCTTCACTCTCCTCCCTATGTCTCAGGCTCTCAGATGTTAGAAGCCAGGAGCACTTAGCTTACAGAGAAGAAGCATGACCACCACCCTAGGGACACAATGGCTACAGCTATGGTGGTAATGAGAGACAGGCCAGAGCCCACTGACACAGTCTTCATGTGTCAAGAACACTTGGGCTGGCTAGGAACAGATAAAGAGCCTTGCCCCTTGGGGTGGCTCTGAAGCCAGTCCTCGTCCTAATGAATTGTGTCTGATCATGCAAAATAAGCCTTTTTACTTGGGTGCAAGGGCTGACTGTGACCATTTCATTATGCTGTAGGAATGCCAGCTAGATGTCACCTGGCTGAGGTCGGAGAGAAAGACGCCTCTCTGGGGAAGAAAGCAGGCAGGTTCTGTAGACACCAGCTTCCTGGGACCATAGCTGATGACTAGGGACCTGGTGTGATCAAGTGTGCAGACCTCACGTATGGCCAGCACTCATGCTTTTGAAACATTCAGGAACAGCATTGAGCACTTTCTTTCATGCCAGCCAGTTGCAGTGACATCATGGGGTTCTTATGATGTATACCTCAGCCCCAGTGTTTCTGTTTCTCCATTGAAGATAGGTGCTCTTGATCCCTCTCCTACCATCAGCCTACTAATTTCTGGGCTGATCTCACTGGTATGTGGCCAGGGGTGTCCACATACTGCAATGGTGGGCAAAACTGGGATGTCAGGGTGGCCTGGACATGCTGTTACAAAAACCTGGTTTATGTCATTGCCAGAAACATCACAACACAGACTGAGGATGGGCTGGGGACTCACTGGGCATAGAGAGACATGGGAAGTCCTTGAGAAGCAGGTGTGACCTGGAGTATGCTGGCCGGGTGGAAATTCCTCATCATCCCCTGTGCTACCCATGTCAGCAGCTGTGGGGTCCAGGAAACAGAATCTCTTGAAAAAGCAGGAGTTCTGTCTCTCCTTTCCTGCTGGTTTCTGGACATCAAGGGTCACCAGCATTCCAGGCTCCCCGGGGCCTGTGACCTGCCAGTTCCTTGCCTGTTTCCTCTCTATGGGTGCTGGCCTACTGCCCTGGGCAGGTCCTAAAACACCGGCATTGTAGGAAAATGATGCTTGGTGGACAGAGGGACGAGGACAACCTGTGTGGCTGGTTCTGTCTCTCTCCATAGGATAAAAAAATGTTCAATTTATAATTTTTATATCCACTGTGAAAAATGGAACCAAGTCAGTGGACCTGGCTGGTGGTAGAGGCTTGTACAGATCTGCTACACTTAAAGCAACCCCAATGTTCTTTGCAGGGGTGTTAGGGTGGGATGTGGGGAAGTTGCCATCGTTGGGCCTTCCGACTGGATGCTCTAAGGGCATCTCCAGGTTCCTATTGCTGCTCCCACTACTCTATGGTTCTCTTGCTGTAGCTCATCCACATTTTCTCTTTCTGAGATTTCTTCTCCCTTTGTATAACTCCCATTAAATAGCTTTCTATAGAGGGCAGTGACAGGAAAAGCCCAAGGAAGCAGAGCTAGCACAGGCCATATTGAACAGTGTTACGACGAGAAACCTAGTCACACCTATATTACCTTCCTCCTTGAATTCCCAACACTAAGAACTGTCTTCAAATTGTGGCTTTCATTCACCTAAAGAGTATTTATTGGGTATGAATTAGAAGAATCAGAGAACTACATGAATTAGAGAACTGAGAAAAAGTACATAGCAGCATTATTTCAGTACGAGCTAACAGCATCATAAAAGAAAAGAAAAGAAAAAAATGCAAACAAATCTCCTAACAGTTGCTCTAGGCCAGACCGGTTGTGCAGCTTCAGGCTGGTGTGAGCTTCATATGAAATCCCTTTCTCATTTTGGGCTGTTGCCTCTACCTTGGTGCTGGCAGATGGGGAGGTAGCATTACCATCTGTCTTTATTTTTCTAACCCCTCCACAGGACACCACAGAGTGGACACTGCAGGGACACCTCACACTGCCAGCTTTGTGCTTTCTCCCAAATGCTGCCACTTCTCAGCCCAGATCCCCACGGGGCAGAGCCTGGCACAGATCGCTGGCTGATGGCTGTCTGCTCCTCGGCTCTTTGGTAAAGGGAAGCAGGATGGGGCCGGAGGGGCTTCTAGATGAGCAGCTGAGCTGGGGAAGGACAGGGCTGTCAGAGTCACAGCTTCTGTCTGCAGGTGCTCATTGCTCAGTGCAGCATATTTGCTCCCCATCCCCATAGAGAATCTGAGCTGGGGGCTTCAGAGCACGGGCTGGTCTGACACTGGCTTGTTCTCTTCTGTGGGAGGCTCAGCGTTCTCTTGTGAGCTCCTGAGGTCAGGGACTTTGTCCTCCTTTGCCATCAAAGCCCAGTTTGTCCCAGGGCAAAGCAAGCTGAGAAGGCCAGTGTGAACCACAGGGGCATGGAGTACAGTGGGAGGACCTGGTCTGGCTCCCAGCTTAGCTACTCAGCAGTAACATAAGCAGGTCCTCTAACATTGAGAACCTCAGTTTCCTCATCTGTAAGATGTGGACATCAGCCTTGTCTCCTAGGCCAATGTAGGGATGATGTGATAGACAGTGGCACAGCTCCTGGCTCCTGCCAGGCCTTGGGGACTGGAAAGTCCCAGGAGACTCATTCCATGAGTGGGAGCCTCTGCTGACTTGGGGTCCCTGGGCGAAGAGTGAATCAGTCTGGGAGGCCGAGGCCAGATTATGACCTACTGACCTCCCTAAATCATGAAGTGGTGTCCTCATTTCACGGATCGTGCCCACAGCTCCCTCATCAGCGGAATTGCATGAAGGTGTCTGATAGAGCAGATGAGCGCATGCAGTGGACTTGGGTGCTTGGAAAGCTGGTGGGTGATGTAGAGCAAGGGAACATTGGCTGGTGGGGAGGGGACCCACTTTCGGCCCCATGGGTTGGCTTCGGGTCTGCCATTCATCAGCCTGTTATGCAGCAAGCCCTGCAAGCCCTCTTGGCCTAGCTTTTCTGCTTTCTAAAGGAGTAGGTGGGTGGCCACTGTGGAGTTGCTCTAGATCCTGTCCCACCTTTTCATTATTAGTTTTTCTTTCCGGCCACAATCACAAGCCAGATGGCATTCACACATGCAGTATATTCTCAGGGGTATGTGCAGCTTTTGATGAGCCATCCCAAATGTTGAGGAGTAGCTGAGGCAGTTAATATTTTGAAATCATTATTGATACCAGCAGTCTAGCAACGCTTTTCTTACTATGGGCTGTGGGCATAAGAGGGATTGGCTGTGAGTTAAGTGCAGTTTCTTTGCAAATACTGTAAGTCTGTGTTATCTCTTTCCCAGGAGGAAGTGTATCAGAATAGGAGCGAGACAGTCTTATGGGGTAACTAGGATTCTGCTTTGTTTTATTAAAGAAAGTCTTGGATGGTGGTTAGGAGCAGCATATTTCTTGTGATATAACTGACAGTTGATACTAACCTATTTATTTGTGGTGATGGCAGAATTGGGAATTAATGGACTGGGTACAGAATTTTCAGCGTCAGGTTGTTTTTGTTCATTTCACAGATCTAGGACTTGCTTAAGATAAAAAGAGCCACTCGACAGTAGGCCCCAAACTGGAGTGGAGTTGGTGTAGAGCGGGGTGGAGAAGAGGTGAAAGAACCAAAGAATGTCAACACTCTTTCTCAGTGACTCACCCATTGCAGACATCATTTCCAATCATGGCATATATGACGATGGCCGGATGGTCCAACTGCTGGTTCCTAGACAAGCTGAGAAGCCATAGATAGAAGCTGAATGTTAGGCCTTTGGAAAACTACTTTTATAACCAGATGCCCAACTGAGGCCTGGGTAAAGGTCTTTATATGACCACCCTCCTGGGAAACATTTCTCTGTTTTTCTTGCATTCCAGTACAGCTGATTACCACTCCCATTTGCGTCTGCTCTGTAATCTCTAACTCACATTCCCATTAGGGAAGTGCCGCATAAGCGCATACAATTGAAAAGAGTGGATTGAAATCCCAGGTCAGTAGGCACACTGCCATCTTCTTAGCATCTTTCACAGCATTTGTTATCAGTAGTAAGCTCAGGTGTGAGTTACCAGAGTCACTCCTGCGGACCTGCAGCCAACCTCAAAAAGACAAGGCCTTCTTGAGGGCTCTCATTCAGCGCACCACTGAATTCAACCTCACTTCTGAATTGTTTTCAGCTTTTATTTTATATTAGCACATGTTTGCACTGAATAATGGTTACGTTCCTTGTGTGGCGTTGACACATGTACATAACACATCTCAGTTCCTTTTCATCCTCTTTCTCTCCTCTCCCTCTCTCTTCCCACCATCTTGTGATCCTCTTCTTGTTTGAACAAAATCTATCTCCCTACTTCCTAAGATCTTTTATTTTGCTCTTTATTTATATTTTGGTATCTCATGTAAGAGGAGCCATGTGGTATTTAAGCTTGTGTGTCTGGTTTATTTCACTTAACATATGGTTGCAAGGTGCATTCATTTCTGAATTTTAAATCCAAAATTTATACAAAAATGTTTCCTTATTCATTAAGCTGGAATATGACATGATCTTTTTGGTGTTTTAAAAGTTATTTCTGTCAGATCTAAGTTTTACTCAACTCATATATATTTTTATACTTCTTCAAGGGCATCCACAAAAATTAATCGCTTCTTAAGCTTACTGGTCCAGGCAGTGATACTCAGTGTTTGCATAGCAGTGAACGAGCTGTCAGAGCTCAGCAGAAATGATTTCAGGGAATAAGATCCTAATGAGATAATTGACAATGTGAAATAGGAAGAAAAGGGCTTAAGGTGTAAGGAAAGTGGGAAGGGTAGAGGAAAGGTAATAAGGGAAAAGAAAAAAATATGAGAAAATGAAAAAATGGAAATAAAGTGGTTGTAAATGGAGAGGGGAGGAGGGGGTGAAGGGAGGGCAGGGACAAAGGGAAAAAATGAGAATCAAGACTTGTCATGTAAAGGTACAAGATCCCAATAATGGATGTAACTGTACTGTATACCTAAAATGTACCAATAAACTCAATTTAAAAAAAAAAGAAATGATTTCAGGGAACCATGGGGTTATGGCTTGCATCTAGATGTCCCCCCGAACCTCATGCAGTCATAGGTGGGACTTTTTGGAGGTGGCTGGATTTGGGGTGTGTGATGCTGGGATCAAGGATGGGATGCTGGGATTGATTCTTGGTGTGATGCTAGAATAAGGCTGACCCACCCTGGGCGTGATTGCTACCTGCCCCAAAGGTGGGTAGCCTGGGTGAGATAGAAGGGACATGAAGAGGGCTGTTGCTTGCTGTCTATTTCACTGCTTTGCTGCTGTCTGCCTGCCATAAACTGTTTCTCCTCTGCCGTGCTACTCTGCCTTGGAGCCAGCCAACTGGGAGCTGAAACCTCTAAAAACTGTGCGCTGAAATCAGCCTTTCCTTCTTGAACCAAGTATTGGGTATTTTGTCTCAGCAATGAGAAAACTAACTAAGCCAAAATTATTATTTTGCCTGTTTTTCAAGATAAGGAACCAAATTTAAGAACAATTCCTTAGATCCATTGCCCACATACCTTTCTATAAACTTCTTTAGGTTTTGGGAGGATCCACCTGAATAATTAAGATGAAGAAAATCAAGTTATGAAGTTCAGTTTGACACTGGCAATTTGAGGGCTTAAATTCACGGGAGAAGAATTTTGGCACAATCTGAGTCATGCAGACCACTGTGTTGATGGAAATAATTTGCTTCTGGTGAATTTGTGAAGTATTTCATCCCGGAACTCTCCTTAAGGGGTTTTCTCTTTACTCTGCATTACACTAACAACCAAAAGTCCTTCAGGTGCGTGGGTCTCCAGACATTTCCAAAGCGTGAATGAGTAAACATTTTGGTTGCTGAGTCAGGTGTATCTCTATCCCCAAAGAGATACATTGCCCAAAATATTAAAGAATGAGTTGAAGGGTCAGAGGGACAGTGGCACAGATTCTTTGAGAACTACACATCTTCCTGGAGGGCCCCTTTCATCTCCTCTTTGGATTCCTGCCCACTCCTGGGCTCCTTCAGGCAGGCTGGCTGGTGCAAGGGTCAGTTGTAGAGCTGATAAGTTTCAGCTTCTGTAACGGGACGAGTGACTATCCTCCCCCCATGCCTGACGCCACCTCATTCTGGTTTACATCTGGTTGTGCCCCCAAAAGCTCCTGTGCCCCTAGGTGGGACCTTTGCAGGATGGTTGGATCGTGGGGGTACTATTTTCATGGTGGGCTGGTCCATGGATGAGGTCATAGCAAAATGTGCTGTTGGGCTGCGGGTCACTGGGGTACAGAGCTTGGGAAAGTTTATCTTCCTCCCCTGCTCCTGCCTTCTGTCTCTGTTCCCTGTCCACCCTGCCTTGAGCAGCTCGCTTTCTGCAGCACTACCACATTATAGCGCCCCCTCACGCACATATACATATAACATTTAATGAATATTTATTTGATTCTGCACACTATTATACACCTATTAGCTCATGTAAGCTTTAGTACTGCTGTCAGGAGGGCACCGTAATATTCCCGTTTTATAAATCAGGAAAGTGGGGCTCACTTAAGGGACTTGGGCCAAGCCACACAACTGCCAAGGTGGAGAGCTGCAATTCACACCAGGCCTTACATCTGCGCTGCTGAGTTCTGGCTCCCAGGGAGACGCCGCTCCTCATCTAGGAAGACTGAAATCAAGCAGGTGCGCTGCCTTTTTGTCCCCAGAGGCTGCTCTGCCAGGAAGGAGTGAGCAGGCTTCCCGTGGGTGGTGCGACTCCATGGGTGGAGTAGGAGGAGCAATACCTGGTGGCCCTTTTCTACAGGAAGACCCTCAATAAGTTCCAGCCTGGGAAATGTGGGGCCAAGTGTGTTTCTTGGAGAGCAGTTATGGCCTAGATGGGCGTGCCAGCCCTTGTCCCCTTGGAGGCTGTCACCATTGGTGATGTCCTCTTTGTTACATAGCATTAGTTACAGGTTTTATGGGCAGCACTGATGTTCTCTTGAGTGAATCAGAAATGTTATACGCTAAGCGCATTCACATTGGGACTTCCCTATCTCCCCAAATTGATACTCTGCAGCCATTCTTCTGGCTGATAAGTTCTGATAAACACATTCGATTGTTGTTGTTGCTTTTTTGTCGCCATGATTTAACTGTACTAGGTGGATCATGCAATATTTGTCCTTTTGTGTCTTGCTTGTTTCACTTAGCATAATGCCCCCATGATTCATCCATATTGCAGCACACATTAGAATTTCTTTCCTTTTAAAGGCTGCATAATATTCCACTGTACGCATATGCCACATTTTATTCATCCACTGATGAATGCTTGAATTGTTTCCACCTTTTGGTTAATGTAAGTAACGCTGCTGTGAACATTGGTGTGTATCTATCAGTTCAAGTTTCTGCTAATTCTTTTGGGTTTACACCTATTTGGAAGTGCATGTTCATTTGGGAGTTTTATTTCTTTACTTTTTTTTAAAGGAGAAACAACCATACTGTCTTCATCTTTTTGTAGTGAGCCAAGGCATGATTAAAAGTGCATATGGGCATACAAATCAAAGGTAGCCAGCCTGCCTCTGCATGCATACACTGATTCCTTCTTCCACTCTTTTCATATGTGAGCACTGGGCACATGCCTGTCACATGCTAGAGGAGCAACAGAGGACCTAAACCCAGCCTTAGGGGCAGCGTCTCTGGGGGTCGATATATAACTGATGGTGGGATAATACTGAAAAGTTAGTGTGAAGCCTAAAAAATGGGGAAGCACGTGACTGAAGCCTATTGTCTTCGTTTGGGAAGCTTCCTGATTTCACAGCACTGCGTCCCAAGTCTTCTGGCTGCTCCGTTGTTCTCACTGTCCTCCAGAGGAAGAGGAAAGCAGCCCTGTACACTCTCCAGTCCCTGTGCTAGGGATCTTCCTTTCATAGGCGGGGCCTCCCTTTCAGATCTACACCATGGCTCCCAACTTCCCATTTTCAGCAGGATAATACATCAGGAAGTGTTTAATTCTCACTCTTGGATTGTTCTCTTAATGAGAAATGAAAACTAACGAAAGCTCAAGGCAGGAGTGGGAAAAAAATGATAGGACCAGGCTGGGCCAATAATTTTCCTCATTTTCCAGGGTACAGGTGGGGATTGGAGGTGTGGAGCAACTGCAGAGTGTGAGGATCTCACAGAAGGAAGCCTCTTGTGGCCTCTGCGTGGGCAGCTCCTCTCTATACCCAGCACCGCTTCTGTCTCTTCACTGCTAAGGGCGAGGGCAGCAGACTCAGCACCACAGACGGTGTGGATTTAAATTAAAAAGCAATCACACATATTCACCCAAGGAGCAAGAGACTGCTGATTCTTCTTTATCCAAATGCCTACTTTGGTTGGTGTCCATACTACAGGCATAGATTTCTCTTTGCTCCAGATTTCTTGTATCTTTCACCCTTTCTGTTTCCTTTAGGAAAGCTGAGTTTTATGAGGTTATCTAATTAGTTTGCCACTGCCCACATTCCCTTCTCTGTTGTTCCGCCGTCCTTTGGTTCTACCTCCCTCCTTCCCCATTTCTATTGTCCTCTCCTCCTGTATACACCCCTATCCCAAGCTGCCCTCGCTGCTGCTGCTGCTGCTGCCGCCTCTGGCACTGGCCATTCTAAGACGGCAGCAGCTGGAACCAGAGGATGTGAGCAGAAAGAAAAGCGAGCTCCTCATGCATGGGATGCAGCAAAACAGGCCAAATGCTTAAAGAACTTGCAAAGCTTATACCCTGACCTCTACAGTTACATCTCAGAGAAATGGGAAACGTTTGACCTTGGAAGAGGGGCATTTGGGGTATTTGTCAAGGCGGAACAAATGGGGAACCCACCTGCCCCCTGTTAAGGGAAGAAGAGTCCATGAGGCCTTTGAAGTCTGCATTGTGGCTCTGTAAGTCTCTTGTAAGTAGAGCAGAAGGTGCCTTAGTGCAGAAGGTGCACTGGAAGAGTAGAAAGGCTTCCCTCCCCTCATCTCAGCACCCGTCAGCTCTCATTTGAGCACTTCACAGACTGTGCGTTTACATCAACTGGCAAGGCAATTTTAATGGTCAGTTCTGTGGCTCAGAATAGGCACTAGGTATTCAATTCTTCATGGAAAGGGAATATTTACAAGGAGTGGTAAAAAAAGAGTCAATGTTTCAGAGCTGGGTGTGGTGGCGCATGTACTCGGGAGGCTGAGGCAGGAGGATCACTGTGAGTTCGAGACCAGCCTGGACTACATAGTGAGTTCCAGGTCAGTCTCAACTACATAGTGAGACCCTATCTCAAACAAACAAACAAACAAACAAACAAGTCAACATTTTAAATCAAACAAATTATTACAGTAAAAGATGCATTGGCATCAATCCCTCTCAAAATACCCTCCCTCACCATGAGCACATTTATCCCACTGCTTTTGCCACTTTCTGAAGCACTTCTGGGGGTTTCTCTCATGAGTACCTTTTCATGGCTGTCCTGAATTGATTAAAAATGTTTACAGTAATTTCTGTCGAATTATAACATTCCAGTGTGTGCCTATTTACCTTGTTCACCAGATCTGGCACTGTGTGACTTCTGGCTCGTCCACAAAGCCGAAGTGACTATGAAATGTGAACACTTTAAATTAATTCAGGGCATCAAGGCAACCATGACAGTGTGACTAAGGACGCTCAGGAAAGCGGACTTCCAGAACTGCTTCAAAAGTGGCAAGAACATGGGATAAGCATGTTCACAGTAAAGAGGAGCATTTGGAGGAAGATTAATGGTGAAGTGTCTTTTACTGTAATATATTTTTAAAAAATGTAAGCATTCACTATATATTTCTATCACACCTTATAAATATGTCTTCATAAATTAGGCAAGTCATTAATTTGGTCATACTTACTATGTATATCAGGTATTGTAGTTTCTGGGGACACATTAGGACATAGCAAAGATATGATCTGTTTCTTTTTTGTTTGTTTGTTTGTTTTTTGAAAGAGGGCCTCACTATGTAGTTCAGGTTGGCCTTGGATTCATTTGTAGCCCAGACTGACCTCAAACTCTCTGCCATCCTCCTGCCTCAGCCTCCCGAGTAGTGGGATTACAGGTGTGGGCCACCACATCTAGCTATGATTTTTGTTTCTGTGAGGCTTCCGGTTATTAATGGGCTTGCAGTGTTAGGGGGTTTAGAGAAGTGCTGAAGAATTGGGTGTTGGGTCCTGAATTAAGTACTCATGTTTCTTTTTCGAAGGTCTCATTAATTAATTCCCAATGAAATACCTGACACTCTTCGCACTGCTCAGAGACAGATCTCTAAAATTTAACACCAGAGCTTGTGACCACATGTATAGGACAAGGCAGACCCAGGTTTTGTGAATTATGAGGCTGACACCATTTGAGGGCATTCTCTTTAAGAAAAAGAACACAAAACATCCAGAACAAGTCTTGACATTAGACGAAGTCAGAGTGGAAAGAAATTCAGTCAGAATGAATTATGGTAAAATATCTTATATATGCTAATGTTATCAATAGACCTGCTTGGCAGGCAAGGGAGGGCCCTCAGTCTTCTAAACTCTGGTCTGTGGCACAGTCTTGGAGCAACCATCATCTAGAAGCCAGAT